ATCAGTGGGTGATACACAGAAATCTGTGCATCACTTCGTGATATAAGGTGCCTAAAGTGGATTTGCACCGTTGTAAACCGACCGTGTCAATCTGCAAATATTTTGAATTCGTGCCACCCAACTAGTAGTAGTGACACTATAACTTATAGTTATACGTACTAAGGCCCAAGGATATATGAGGAATATATTAGTAATTACCTTAATCACATCAGTCACAGCGTTTGCTAATTTTACGGTGAAAACTACAATTAAAAATTCCGCTTCTGCAATGTTGTTGTGCGGTTAAATTGGATCCTCTATCCACAGCGCCGCGTAGTGAGCGAAAATAAAGCGGGGCTTTTTCAAATATTTAAATAAATATAATAATTCCTGCATAATATTCTGTTTCGGTGTTCTCTACAGTCGTACACCTCGCGTTTAATAAGATTTTCGTTCATATTTCAAAATATATTAAATATAAATTTTCTATTCCGCCTGCGATGATGAACACAAAATACAAATGAAGATACATTTGAATAATGCATACCTATTGGAAAAACTGTGCAGCTAAGTGTACATATAATAAATTTCTGAGAGAACCGTGATATGAAAATGTATGAAAATGTACATGTTGGTATTCTTCCGCATACATTCGCGACATAATTGGTTTATCAACAATTGACTTTATAATTATATTTAAAAGAATATAAACAGAAGTAACTGGCTGCGAAATTATGGATTACAACTATGGTTGTGGTAAATAAATGGTCAAATAAATGTGGTAATACAGCTATGGTGAAAAAATTGACAGGGAACCATTTTATTATAAATTAACTACCAGCGCACAAAATTACGTTCATTATTGTGTACATGGATGTCTTGGCTGTTTTGTCTTGGCTAGCGAAAAGCGTGGTAATAGTCGTCAACCAATCGCCTCTCTTACATGTTCGCAACAGTTACATTTACTGATTGGCGCCCGTCTAACTAGCGGACTCTACCAACTCTACTGCCTCTTCTCCTGCTGCTGCTGCCGCTGGCTGCTGCTTCTGCTAATTGTGTTCGCAGTGTAGGACGAAAGCTGCGAAAAACGCATGCATAGCACCGATATTCAGGCAGTTAAACGCCCGTGCGTTACTATACGTTCGCGATTATACACGCAGCATCAATCTGTTTCATCGTTGACTAACCGACGAACGAGTGTTTGCTTTTCGCCGAAGTGCCTACTATTACTAATGCCATGCCTTCCTTGTGCTTCCGCAGTGACCGGTTTTAACTCGCAGCCATCGGGCCGTGTGTTAAACATTTCGTCGTCTTCGTAGTTTATCCGTGTTCCCCGTCTGCTGGCCTGCCTCGTATGGGAAGAACCACATCGTTCTGATAACCATGTTTGGTTGGAGAAAGAGCACCGTGAGGCTACTCATACTCATTTTGTTTTACCTATTGTTTCTCGTGATCGGTGCGTCGATATTTTCGGCTATCGAAGCGCCGGAGGAAATTGCCAGGATCAAAGCCGTGCGCCAGATCCGCATGAGGTTTATGAAAGATCACCAGCAGTGCTTATCCGGTGAGTTGTACTACCGTCGCTAGATAACGTTTGTATACTTACTCAAGGCTCTCTTCGGATGTTTTAAAGTTTGAGCCAAGTCTTGAGCCACCAAAGTTTATTTTTCGGCCACCAATGGAAAACTATAGCCACTGTTCACTTTATCGTATGTGCTAAGCAAGGCATAAACACGTAATGCGCATATGGGAAAAGAGGCGTACGAAAACATTTTACGACACGACACTGCAATTTGACGATTTCGTTATTCAATCGTAATTTTGTGAGCAGTTCAATTATTCGCCAATTGTATTCGTCACTTTAGTGTAGTAAAGTCGCCACTGTTATTTATGTATCGCATTTTGCGAAAGTGGCGAACGGCAGCGTAAGTCCTGCTTACTTATCATAGTACACGCAGTAGTACCCATATACACGCAGTAGCACGCGTAGTACTTATCATGTGTACACGCAGCTAGTCGGGGTTTCACGTTAGTTCTGCATGCCGCACCACACTAACTGCGGAGTGGCACAGTCCTTTGAGTGGTCGAGCCTGCTTTTAGGTCCTCGTGTATACACGATGGAGTGACGATTACGTTATGGTTATGTTAGAGCTAGAACCAGGTTAGGGCTAGGATCAAGGATGGGGACATGGTAAGGATGTATGATGGCGTGTAGAAGCCGGGTCATGAAGAATGCCGGTGTTACACGCCGTGTGGACATGTATCGGTGTTTTACATGTACCCGTGTTTATAGACATACATGTTACCTGTATCCTGCGGTCTATACACGGTGCCCGTGGCAGGGTGGTACGGTGGGCTGTGCAGCCTCTTGCTTGACGGTGCGTAATGAGACTAAGTATTTGTAATCGTGCGTGCATTGTTAATGTTATGATTGACTTGGATTAATGGTTGGCTTTATGGTGATCAGGGGGCGTGAAGGCGGCATGTCCCGGTAATGATTTATATATTATTGAGCCTTGTCCGCACGCGTGTTCTTTAGCACACGCGTGCATCACGCCGTTGAGTTGTTACAGTGCAGAATCAATCAATACGCCGTGCACTCCATATCAATTCGTTTCCTGTGTGCTTAGCTAATAAAAACAGAAAAAAAACGTGCAGCAAGTGCTATATATGAATTCGTTACATAATTTACAGCGCAATATCTGTGAGCTAACTATAGTGAACAAGGAAGGGCAATTTCAAAACCAATGTAGATAGATGGTATGATCCGTTAACACAATGCAAAGACAATGATACATTGTATATAATATATATATATATAATATACAGGGTGCGAAATTAACGGTAGTCCGGAGTCAAATACTCCCTGATTTACTGTCGGACTCCCTGATTTGACATATGCAGGTGTCCGTGTGACTCCCTGAAAATTCTGCCATACTAACTAGCCTCGCGGAATTACCGTATTTTTTCAGCTAATGTCCAAAGAAAATTTGGCAGACGTGCAACCGCATGAATCTTAAAAATAACCACATGCGTTATTGTTAATCATCTTTAATTTTGAACCAGACTGCGGACTCCCTCATTTTGCTTTGGACTTCTTCTTTTGAGGGTGCTTGGACTCCCGTGTTAAAAAGTCAATTTCTACCCCTGTATATATATATATATATATACTATATATAATATACAGACATACATACATTGATTGGTTGACACGTTAATGTAAGTATGCGCGTGTGTGCACGCGTGCATTGTGCGGTGCGTGCGTGCCTGTGATTGTGTGCGCGGCCTGCGTGCGTGCGTGCGTGCGCGCGTGCCGTGCGTGCATGTTCTCCGTTTCCTGCAAAATCAGGCGAGCCCACTAACGCTATTAAAGCTGCCCCTGTAGGAAGGTGTTATACCAGGGCCGCATTGTGTCTGTCTGGCGTGTCTGCCTTGGCGTATGCATGCCACCCTGGTTTGCAATCAGCATCCGGTCTTACTAATAACATCAGTGAGTCGATTTCGTACCTAAAAAGTACCAACCACGCTTTTGTACAATACACACGCACGCAAATGCACGCACGCACGCACGCACGCACGCGAACGGACGCACGCATACGAACGCACGTACGCGAACGTACGCATACGAGCGATGCTGTTGCCGGCGTCCACGTGGGATTCTCTAAATTAATAGCACTTCTAGCGTTCGCGTTCGTGAGCACGTACGTGTTGTGTATACGATCCGTGTTAGTACTAACGCATGGCTGGATCGTAACGCGGCGGGGGACAGCACGGTCGACCGGCGCGCCTGTACTGCCGTCGCGCGTCGTTTGAACGCGGGGAGAGTCTCCAAATACACGAACGCATCCGCCACTGGCGCATGCGCACCGAGTTCCGGAGGGGTGGTGGTCGGGGGATGGGGTATTGCGCGGTTAAGCGATCCCATTAACCGGCGCAAGAGCGACGGAGAGGAATTTAAGGCTGCGCGCCTTCGTTTAATGAGAGGCGGAGAGCAAGAGGAATCCGCTGGCCGCCGACGCATCACGGCGGATAACGACCGGAGTGCGGCACGCGTCAGCGACGTAGATCGCAACAACGCCGCATACGGCGCGGGGAATCGATTAGCTTATAGGCAGTTATGTAAAGGCAAGAGTGCATGTTGCTGCGCTGCGGGGGTGTTGCGCGAGCCCAGGGGCGATATTGTCGGAGCTTGTAATTCGCGGAAGAGTGTGTCCCCCCCCCACCCACAACGGTTGAAGCGCCGTCGCTGCTAAGCTCATGAAGAGAGACAGAGAGAGAGAGAGAGGAGCAGAGAGAGAGAGAGAGAGAGAGACGCGAGGGAGAGAGGAGAGAGAGAGAGAGAGAGAGAGAGAGAGAGGAGAGAAAGCGTGACATGTGTGTCGAGCGTGCACGGCCCGGCGTAGAATGTGTGCGAGCGCCCTTTGTGTGGCGTGCTTCTCTAATAGATTCGTGGCTTCCCGTTCGTACGTTAGCGCTTCTCTCTTTATTAGCGGCCGCCTGTTTTGCACTGCGTGGCGTGTGTCCTTGCCATGCGCGCGCACAAACCACACCACACAGACACACACACACACACACACACACACACACACACACACACGACCACACCACACACACACACACACACATTCTGTGTTTTGTTCTGTTTCATATAGAAACGTGTGTGTGTGCGTGTGCGTGCGTGCGTGCGTGCGTGCGTGCGTGGGCGTGCGTGGTGTCGTGCGTGCGTGTGGTGCGGCGGCGGCGTGCGCTGGCTGATACAGCGACGAATTTCGTTTCATTCGTGGGCGTGCATGACAGCGCGGAAACGTGACGACTGAAACACGGATCGAGACCGATGCCAGCGCGTGTATGCGAGTCTCGGCTTACGCGTTTGCGTTTACTTAGTGTCTTTAAACGTAAATAGGAAGTGGATTGAATGCGGGCGTGCGACACCGGTGGCGGGCTAGCCGTGAGTGCTCCATAACGAAACGCAAAGCCGCTGCGCCGAATTTTACCGAAATCCGGGGAATTCGGGTTCCATTAGCGTATAGAGCTGTCTCGGGCAAAATTACTCGGATTAGATTGTGCGCGCACCGAAAATAAATTGACCATAAGCGTTTGTGTGAAGTAGGCCAATTACCAGTTTAGTGGAGTAATCGTAGTACTATATATGCGTTAGCTAGCGACCATGCTCTGTAGGGACGCAGGTCTCTGCACGTAGAGTCAGTTACTCATCCCATAGTATTATAATAATCTACAGTGACGCAGGTCTCTGTACATAGTGTCAGCTACTCCACTCAGAGTACAATAATACTCGGCAGGGACTCGAGTCTC